ATGGCTATATTCTCTAATTTCACTAAACATATATTATTTCTTAATTTAGGAGAAACATTGTTTTTTTAAAATTGTCTTCTAACATCCATTTTCCACAGAGGTAAAAGTCAGCCAACACCCCACTGCTCCAATTTAAACGTGTTTCCTCTTGTACATTCTTCAGAGGCAATGGGGAGAAGTTTCCATTTTTAAACAACAGGTGATCTGACATGTCATCTTTTCTGAAAGAGCTAAAATGGGTTAGCCTAAAATTCAGCCTTCCTATGAACTGCTTAGTTTTCTGTGAAAATGTTAGTTTCTATTTTTGACTTAAGTTTTGACAGAGTAAAGAACATAAGATTTTTCTGGAGAAGAATAAGTTCTTCCTTGACAACAGCAAAATAAATAAATGAAATAAAGAAATTACTATATTTCCTCAAAAGATGTTCACATTGAAATGACAAAATATTTCCTTTATTGTGTACTTTACTACAGGTTGTAATTACATATGAATTTTTCCAACCAACCAACCAACCGTCTATCCATCCAATATCCCTAGAAATTATCCCTGGCCTAAATTTGTGTTTTTCTTTTCCAGGCATATTTTTATACCATAACTACATATGTAGGTATTCATAAATAATATATAGCATTGCCTGGAATTTTCTACTTCACACATATATCAAATATGTGATCATACCCTATCAAGGTTTGATTTTTGTAACCATTGTTTTCTCCTCCACACTCCGCCTACCACAAATTCTTTCTTTTTCAACTTCTCCATGATCATATATACAAGCAATGCATATACAGAGTCTGTAATAAGTTTAAGGATTTTTTTCTTAGATATTGATTCTTTTACTTATATGGAATAGATTCTAAGTAGATTATGCATTTTATTTTTATTTTAAAAGATGTGAACAAAGAATGGATGTGTATTCTTTTCCACATATTCTTACTTTCAAAATTATGTCCTTCCAGTCTGAGAATTATATTTGTATATACCATTATTTTTTTATTTCATTTCCCTCATCATTGCTACTGATGTGGAAAATCCTTTTATACCATATCTTCTGTGAGTGACAATTCTATATTTTTGTCCATTTTTTCAAATTGAATTTTGTTGTCTTTTCAATTTTGAAAGAATTCTTATATAATAATATTGATGGGGTTCAGGATACACTACATCAAAATATGGCATCTTGGCACACTGAATATATTAAACTGAAGGAATTTGAGAAACAGCACATACAGGAAGAATTTTATACCTTTCCCTGAAATAGGTCAACCACCATGTGAGAGACGCCATCCCTGTACCCAGAGAAAAGAAGTCTCCTTATCTCTGAAGATAAAGGGATGGAAAGAAATCTGAATTAATGTGGCTTGCTATATTTCCCTCAGTGTACTACACACTTAGCATGTACCTTTTGTCCTGTATAATTTTCCATAACTTCCCACTCTTCATCAAACCTAATATTATAAATGCTGAAGTTTAAACATGTCTTGCAATCTTCATTTCTTTATGAAGGCTCTCTTGTCAGGTGCAACTCTTTAAATAACTTAAAATGCTATTCTCATCTTAATCTGTCTTTTGTTGCAGAGTATAGGAAAACTATATTATTCCTCTCCTACATTATCTATCCCCTAAATCAAGCATATCAAACTCAAAGGCTAACATAGGCCAAATAAACAAGGTTTAAGTTTATGTGGGCTGCAAAAAACCAAAAGTTTCTATTTTCACAGAAACATAGGTTTATTTTTATAGGGACATGCTGAATACAAAGGGCTGAAATAAGTGAGTAATCATTAACATAATATAACATTTTAATAAAAATATATTTTCTTGAACATTAACTTAGAAGGCACTGAATAACTGCACACATTCATAAGCATAATGCAAATAAATCTATTTTTCTTTATCTCCAAAAGTGACATACTTCCTATTGCACACACCAAACAACTCAGTCCAAGATTAATGATTTGGCAATCTCCTGCTAAAATATTTGTTCTAGTACTAGTGGAGAGAAATGTGTGCGTGTCCTTAAGGCACGTAAGAGAAATGAATGCAACATGATTATAGTAATCAGTCATCAGCAAACATTATAGTTCATTCTTAATAATTATGCATAATAGGATATTGTAAAAGTTAAGTTATAAAATTTTTATTAAAACATTTCTTACATACCGTTATTTTGGCTGGGCTGCAAAAAAATATTTGTTGTGGGTTGCAAGTTTGACATGCTTTCCTAAATACGTAACAAATATTTGTTTTCCTAATTACTAGTATCTGATTGATATTCTGCAATATTATTTTTGCCATATTTTTAAAATATTATATAGTTAGATATTTTATTTATTTTCACATATTTATAATTTCTAATATTGATTTAAAGTTTCTTACTCTCAGATTGTGTATAGAACGTAATCAATTTTCTTTGGGGCTTTTATTTTCATTTTAAAAAATATATTTTGACTCTATCTGAAAATTACTTTTTACTTTTTTCATTTAAAATTGTTAATATCTTATATTAGTTTCAGGTGCACAATAAGTGGTTAGAAAATTATATAATTTACAAAGTGATCATACCAGTAATTCAAGTACCTATCTGACACAACGTATAGTTAGTTATAACAATACTAAAGGCCCGGTGCACCAATTTATGCACCAGTGAGGTTCCTCGGCTTGGCCTACAGGGATCAGGCTAAAACCGGCTCTCCAATATCCCCAGAGAGGTCACAGATTGCGAGAGGGTGCAGGCCAGGCTGAGGAACCTCATCAGTGCATGATCATGGGAGGGGAGGGACTTTGGGATAAATAAAAATTCTTTTTATCTATGATAGTGAAATACAATGGAGAGCTACACTCATTTCTTAATTCAGAAATAATAAATGCATGATATCATTATTTTAAATGTCCGGTCCATCTAGCCCAGTTCCTATCAGCCAGACCCCAGCAGCAAACTAATCTACCAGTCAGAGATTCTGCCCCCTATAATGGTCAGTGTGTGTCATAGTGACTGGTCAAACAGTCGAACAGTCAGACACTTAGCATCTTAGGCTTTTATTATATAGGATTTGACTATATTCCCCCTATGCTATACTTTACATCAATAACTTACTCAACCGGACTAGGAATCATTGCCTTTAGAAACAATAAGATGTAAGAAAATTCTATTCATTTATGATAGTGAAATATAATGGAGAGTTACACTTATTCTATAAATGTTAATGTCACAATCAAGTGGACTCGCAGATATTTCACAAACATGAATGCCCTACTATAATATAGTCTTAAAGAAGGTGCATCTTCCCTAACCAGTTTGGCTCAGTGGATAGAGTGTCAACCTGTGGACAGAAGGGTCCCAGGTTCGATTCCAGTCAAGGGCATGTACGTTGGTTGCGGGCACATCCCCAGTTGGGGATGTGCAAGAGGCAGCTGATCAATGATTCTCTCTCATAGATGTTTCTATCTCTCTGTCCTTCTCTCTTCCTCTCTGTAAAAAATCAATAAAATATATATACTTTTTTAAAAGAAAGAAAATAAAAAGCACCATGCCATTAAACCACTTCCTCATCTGTTTCTTAGAAGAAAATAACCTGAGATTAAAATAACCAGATGTGATCTTGCAAACAAAAAATGTACATATTTTACATATTAATTGGGAGAATACATCACACTAATAGACTTGCAAAGTGTTTGAGACCTGAAAAAGGGTGAAAAGATTATTCTAAAATAATAAGCTAATTTTTACCCTTAGTCTGTGATTAAGCTTTCCATGCTCAAACTTATGCTCTTTCACCAGAGACCTGTTCATTGTTCAGAGCTACAACTCCTAAAAACTCTAGTTTACATCAGGTCAAAACTTACTTTTGATATCCTCATCAATTTTCTTCTTTATCTTTCTTTCTTTTTATTAATCTTTATCGTTGGAAATATTACATATGTCCCCTTTTTCCCTCCATTGACCTCTTCCAGCCACAATACCCTCCCACTCCAGGCTTTCACCGCCCTATTGTCTGTATCCATGGGCTATGCATAGAAGTTCATTGGTTGATCTCTTCCCACCCACCCGCCCCTGCATTTCCTCTGAGGTTTCATAGTCTGTTTGATGATTCCATTTCTCTTTACTCCAATCTCTACAGCATAAGACAATAGAACAATTCCCTATTCCTGATAATGGTCCTTTAGATAGTATTTGGAGATGGTCATTTTAACCCCAAGATAGTTTTGTTTTTCAGATTGGTGGCCTTTAAACAACATAGCATAAGTACATAACACTAATTCTAAATTTTGTTCTAAAGGAAAATGGTTTCACCACTCAAACAATATTTTATATTTTTTAAAAATTCTATAGTGAAAACTCACTAATTCTGACAGAGTAACAGAAAACTCTAAATTTACCTATGAATTTCAAATTGCATTCAGAAAAACAACTGCATTATATTAATGTATGTAGCCTAATGAATTTTGCAGAATTATCACATGCTTATTTATACCACTAAATTCTTAGAAATTGTAACTCATAAAATTACTTTTAAACTATGGGTTGTCAAAATATTATTCATGGATGGATTTCAGCACATAATCAAATTTTATCAAAAGTCACTGTTGTATTTATTCTTATTAATTCAGAAATAAGTGCATAATATCATTATTTTAAGTGTTACTAGAAACATAATTTACATTAATTCTTTGGGGGAATAAAGGAAATACTACAGAGGTGGAGAACCTTTTTCCTGCCAATGGCTATTTGAATATTTATAACATCCTTGTTGGGCCATACAGCATTGTCAATTTAAAAATTAGCCTTCTATATTTGGTCAAACATTTAATTAACTTGCCCCTAATGCCTTGGCAGGGCCAGACTAAATGATAAGGCTTGTGGGCCTGATGTTCCCCATCCTTGACTTAGTGGGATGAAGTATAACATCATATAAGGGAGAGGAAATTCCAAGGTGGTAAACCAAGCTCTGTAAACCTTAGCTCTCAAATTAAATTATCATACAAGAGTAATACTTACGGATACAATTCTGAAAGTTGCTCAGCTATTGCATAAGCTGTCGGGTCTCTGTCTAAAGCATACAGAGTAATATCTGGCTCTTTCTGCAGAATGGCTCTTGTGTGTCCTCCTGAACCAAATGTCATATCTAGAAAAATCTAACCAACACAGAAAAAGAAAATTTACTACTTAGATTGAGTAAAATGTATTCTTGTTAGCTACCTTAATCTCTAAAGGCATATAACAATTTTCAGAATTGATAGCAAATACAAACACAATTATAATTTTTGCCCAGAGTTCAATTTGTTATACAAGAGATCTGGATCAAACGTGAGTGATCAGTCCAAAAGAAGTGAGCAGTAAAATGATAATCTCTGGCACAGGCTGGCCGATTCATGACAAATTTACATTTCACTCTATTAAGGTCAAACTGGCCAGTGCTGTGTGCTGCCAGCTTAATGCTTTCCAATACCTGGCCGGTAATGATATTTCCAACACTTTCTCATCATTTGGAGATTCCCTACAATTAGTGTGGTCCACTTTTTATTAATTTCTCTAAATGTCTTATATTAAACATAAAGATATTCAATAATACAGTAAGAGTATGATTATAGGACAAATATTAAAAACTCTAACCTGTAAAATTGACAAATTAACAAATATGATTTGGAAAAATCCCCAAAGCTTAAGTCAAAATGCTTGGGGTAAATTCTAGGTTTGCCACTGAGCAGCTATATATATATATTTGCAGTGCCTTTAGATTTCCCCAGGAATTAGAAAGAAAGGGGACTAGATAAAAGATATCAGCAATATCAAACTCATTTGTAAGGTGACACACAATTTCTCTTCTAAACCAAGATTTTTTTGAGGCTGAAAGACATGCCAGTAATAATTTTCTCAGGACAATAGGACATAAAGTATGGAGTGCATATCTTTGAATGCTAGGATCATTCTAGTTACAAAATAAAGTTAGTTGGATCTGAATCTACTCCTTGACTATTTTACTTGACATGGCCATAAAGAATATGGGTCAGTCTGGCCAGCGCAGTTCAGTGGTTGAGCATCGACCCATGAACCAAGAGGTCATGTTTCAAGATTCCTGGTCAGGGCACATGCCTGAGTTGCAGGATTGATCCCCAGTGCAGGGCATGCAGGAGGCAGCTGATCAATTATTCTCTCTAATCATTAATGTTTCTATCTCTCTCTCTCCCTTCCTCTCTGAAATCAATAAAAATATATTACTAAAAAATTAAAGAAAATGGGTCAGAGGTAAGTAAAAACAAGACCTGAACCATAAGAAACATATGAATGAACAAGTTAGTTGGATATGGCTGATTTGGAAGTAAAGACACCATCAGCACATCCCCTCAAAGTTATACTCTCAGATTAACGTGCCTTTTCAATAAGCTTCACTGATATTGTGAAAATAAAAACAATGACAAATACAGACACTACAAATCAGACTGGTAAAAATATTTAAAACATATAACTTTTTTAAAGTCCAAGAAGAGAAATTCTTATAATAGATTTGAGTATTTCCCTGCCCTGAATGCTATAACTTATTTTAGGGAGAGTGGCAGAAACAAGGAATAAGGAACAATTAGGCTTTGAATTTTTGATACTAGCTACCATGCTGAGTCCTAGCCTCTGATCAAATCCTCAGAAAAGTTATAGACTTCTATTTGAAGAATAATGTGGAAGAAATCTTCTGATCAAAATTGAGAAGAGGAGGGATGTAAAATAAGTGATGTTCATGTGGTAAAAATGTACAAGCACTGCCTTTTAACATAAATGTGTTAATGTAACAACCTTGCACTTCTATTACTGTGAGCACAAAAGTCACGGTGACACCCATTTTCATCATCTTAAAAAGTAACTTTAAGCCAATCCTAAGTCTTATTATTTATATGGTTGTTAGGATTACACATTTAAATATAAAAATCAAATAATTTCCCTTCCCATTTTGTATACTTGCTTTATGAACCTAAAAGTAGAAAAAAATCTCCCATCATACTTTATCCCACTTGTAAATTTGATAGGGGTTTAGTATAAATTAAATAAATAACTTCCCAGGCAAAACTACAAACTATTTTCTTGCTATGGCCCAATATCAAGTCTTGCTTTAAGTCTGGATTTTAACTAAGAGTATATCAAATAAAATAATTTGCATATGATTTCTTTATCTCAAGCCAGGAAAAATCCCAATCAATATTTAAAAGGAAAAATCCTCATCATTAAGAATTTTCTGGAAAATGTGAGATGATTATAATTTACATGATTATTTTTAATATATCATGATTATGCCCTTGGAGATGTACTAACAATCAAGGATGTTTCTGTAGGAAAAAAAAATCTATTATTTCCAGTCAAGTATAACACAAAACAAGAAGTGGAAGACAAATGGGGATTTATGAAACTACAAGTGAACCCCATCATATGCCTTGGGTTAACAGGTGACTGGAGCCATCAATTTTCATTTTAAAAATTGTAATATACGTTGTTCATTGTACATTACACTCAGCACTACAACTAAAAGGGGAGCCAATTTGTTTTCTCTTCTTTTGGTCATTAACTTGACATAAGACTATTTAAAAAAAATCTGTATAAGTTGATAATAAAATAAGAAGACTGAGCAAATTATTTTTCATAATTATTTTTCATAATAAATTTGAATGTTTCAAAATAATTCTCTGTGTCTCATCTATACATATGTTCAGATACATATCTTATGTGCCAAACACATATAAAACTCCTTATTTGAAATTACCTGATATAATTTAGCTAAAAAGCCAAACCCATATTTGATACCAACAGTTTACTCTGGTAATTTTACTTATCACCTGTATGACCCTGATCAAATTATTTTAACTCTCTGAGTTTCAATTGCTTCATCTAAGAAATGGGGATAAAATGTACCCCTGTTTAAGCAGCTGGTTGGATAATGAACTGAGTGAGTATGGAACCAGTACTACCAGAGATTTCCATGACCCTTTTTGATCCCATAGGATCTGCAAAGGTTAGAACAAAAGGCATCTTAGGGAAAACTAAGGGTGGTAATTGGCTAGTGACAAGATACAAGGCTTCTGCATAGTTCTGGATGGTGTGTGTGTGTGTGTGTGAAGGGGGAGAGAAGAAATAATTGAAACTGATGTTTGATGAAACAAATCGAAACTGGTTTGGCTCAGTGGATAGAGTGTTGGTCTTCGGACTGAAGGGTCCCAGGTTTGATTCCGGTCAAGGGCATGTACATTGGTTGCTGGCACAGCCCCAGTAGGGGGTGTGCAAGAGGCAGCTGGTTGATGTTTCTCTCTCATCGATGTTTCTAGCTTTCTATCCCTCTCCCCTCCTCTCTATAAAAAATCAATAAAATATTTTAAAAAAAACAAAAAAAAACCTGATGGTTTCTCAGCACAGTTAAGGCTCAGAATAGAAATGAAGATGATTTAAAAAAAAATAAACTAGCATTTAAAAGAGTGGATTCATAACTATAATTCTCTAATTCTGCCACCAATTAAATACAGTAGATTCAGTGTACTATAGTAGGTGCTTGATATATATATATATATTTTTTTCTAAATATTTTATTGATTTTTTTTTTTTTAACAGAGAAGAAGGGAGAGAGATAGAGAGAAACATCGATGAGAGAGAACTATCCATCAGCTGCCTCCTGCACATCCCCAACTGGGAATGTGCCTGCAACCAAGGTACATGCCCTTGACCGGAATTGAACCTGGGACCTTTCAGTCCACAGGCTGACGCTCTATCCACTGAGCCAAACCGGTTTTGGCAGTGCTTGGTATATAGTTAGTGAAGATATATGAAAAAAACAATCAGCCTCCACGGTAATTATGATAAACATAGCAACACTCATTTGTGCTTATGAATTCAGATATGTTCTTCAAGATATAAAACTTATTACCATAGAACCATGTAAAACAATTGCAATGTGTCCAACTTTTGAGTCATCTAACATCAATGTAGTCCTAATATTACAAATTCATTAATGAAGAGAACTTTTCCAGAACACTAATAGTATCTGTAATTAATAGTGTCATATAACTAACTCTATAGTTATCACATTTTTGTTGATCAGCTCTCCTTTACATTTGAAATAGGAAAATGGACATTTATTATTTTAAGTTAGCTCTTTTAAGCAAATACAATTAAATGACATTTTATTCCCAATGGTCTTCTAAATACCACAGGAACAACTGGGTTCTACCAGGATGAGTCACGCTTGCATAGTTGAGCTATAGTTGTGGATCTGATATGGACAAGGTACAGACAGAATTTCAGAGCTCAAAAAGATATAACAGACTATTTATTCCACCCCCTCATCTTACTTATGAGGAGACCATGGCCCGAGGAGGGTAGCTGATAGCTAGTTGAGGGCAAAGCTAATACTAAAACCTACCTCCTGTGCTCTTTCTACTTCATCTCATAATACTCCCCCACTGAAATTATATAATTGCACTGAAATGAAAAATATATATATATTCTTTGAAAAATATTTTTTTCTTAGTATGAAGATAGATATGAGAACTTTGCATCATTTTAAAAAAAACATTTTTCAATTATAGTTGACATATATTCAATATTATACGAGTTTCAGGTGTACAACATATTGATTGGACATTTATATACCTTATGAAGTGATCAACCCATACAAAAAATCCTAGTTTAATTCTATTATTATACATTGCTGTCTTTCTGCAGTATACCTCGTACCACACTTTCATGCCTCTCCTATGTGACAGACTTTAAGACTTAACTAAATTTGCTACTAAAAGCAGAGACTGACAGAAATCAAGCGATTTGCCCAAGATCATCCTGCACAGACTAGATAATTAGATGATTTTTTTTTCCAATCCAACAATTCTAATCACTGAAACTTTTACACTGAAATAACACTGCTACAATTGGACACAAAAACATTTTTAGCCATGAATAATATGAGGGCAGATCTTCAAATTTCATTTTCCTAATGTTGATTAGTCATTTCCAATCTGTGTGAGATTTTTAATAGTAAGTTCTCATCTGAATTTGGAAACAATATGGTCTGATTTCACTTTAAAATTTCTTCCAATGAATCTTTTCTGGCAATCATTCATTTTTATTTTTAGGATTAAAGTACTTTGGAAAATTTTAAAATTTCACC